GACAAATTTACTAAAAATAGCCGATAAAATTCAAATCACAAACTTATAATCAAAGTTCAAACGACCCAGAAAAAAGCCATGGAAACGGTGAAAGAAAGATTAAAACTTTCAAACGAGTAAAAAATTTAGAAGAAAAACGACAACTACCCCAAAAATGGCGGAACTGTCTAGAAAACAAGCATTATTATTGCTGGTAATTATGTTTTTCGCTTTCAAGTGGGACAGCAAATTAAAGAACAGAGAAACTCAGGGGAGTTATTAGGCAAGAAGTAACTCGATAAAAAAATTAAAATAAGATAGAAAAAATTGAGAGAAAGAGTAGCGTACCTGCAACTACTACACAAAGATTGTTGAGTAAATAAAAGGATGTTTGAGAGCATGGGAAATAATCTATTGCGGTTTATGCCTTTAGATTACCCTCCTTTGTTTTTTGGTGTTACTATTTAGTAAGTGATGGGGAAAAAATATTTTTGGTTAAAAAAAAAACATTTATTTACTTGTGTTTTTTGTATTATCTTTTGTTTAAACAAATTATATATGATTTTTTGTATTTTTATTTAACTTAAAGTTTCATTTTATTAATTATAATGATATTATGTTTATGATGTATTTTATTTTTTTCTATTAGTAAATTTAATTTTGTATAAGATAGGACGAATGGAGATTATATATTTTTAGAAAGTATATTTCGAACATCGTATGGTTCTCTTAAGAAATCATCCATCATTTAATGTATAGACACTTGTCTAAAGTATAGTTATTGTATGACGCGTGTTAATACACTAATTGTATACAAGTGTTGATGGCTTCATAAGTTGTGTCATCTGATAGCAATTAAAACTGTTTAATCATATATCGAAACTCTTGAGCAACAATAATTGGTCATTTTGATATCAAATGATTTTCATACTTGAAAAGTACTAATTTTGATTAACAACGATAATTGGGATACGAGTTTTAAGTAAATTAAGATTTTGGATATTAAATATCTATGTATAATATATATATAATATTGATTTAGATTAGCACTTTTTTTTAGCATAATTGTTAAATGAAAGAATTATTTTTTATCTCACCTCATCTCGAGCGTATTTAGAGTTTGTTTAGTTAATGAGTTCAACTTAAATTAGCTCGAATATATAATTTTTTATTAATTTTCTATAACTCGACTCGTTAAAACTTGAGTTGACTCTTTAGCATTAATAAACAAATTGCTTTTGAGCTTGTTTGATTAATGAGACGAGCAGATAAATACCTGTGTTTGAGCTTCAAAATCAGAAACTCGAGCTCAGCTCGACTTTGAGTTTGAGCTTCAAACAGCTCTTTAGATTTTCTGTGTTTTCTGAAAAATTTACACGAACGCAGTTTTCTATACATGTTCATAAAGTTATGTCTTTGACGACTGAACTAATATTGTAACTTAAAGCGACATTTTTACAAACACAAGGTGAAAACATGACATTTCATAAATTTATTGCTCTTGTTTCTTTTCAACATCATCGTAGCACTAGGAGTGGGTCTCCCATCAGTTTGGCTAATGAATTTAATCAACATACCATTTTCGATTGAAGCATGTAACACATGTTATAAACAATGATTTTTAGTTGGAATGCCTACAAAAATTGTCGAGAAATGTTATAGGTACATAATATTGTACATAAAGGTGTACATAACACTCACATTGAGTGAGACCTATAGAAAATAAAAAAATAAGTGGACTCCACTCCATGTAAGTGTTATGTACACCTCTATATATATTTATTATGTACTTATAACATTTTCCCGTAACTAAATACTGTCGTTTTATTATGGTAAAATGACAATAATGTATATTTTTATTTTTATTTTTTGGTTATTTGCATTGATGAGATCAAATCATATAAGATCAAATCTGGCGGCCCATTTGTAGTCTGTAAGCTCTCCGGCCCTATACTTTTTAGTTTTTTTAGGGGAGTTTAGAGGAAATTGACTTTTAAAGTCATGAACCATTTTTCATAAATTTTACTTTACACAATACACGATTGTAGAGCATGGTTTCCTCATTGTTGGACTAACACCAATTTTAAGTGCTATTTGAAAGATATTTTTGTTTGAAATTAGTTCTCATGTTCGAACAAGCACATAGAACCACAGAAAAAATGGACGACTTTTTATTTATATTATTTCCTTACTTAAATTATTTTATATACTCATATATAAGATTGCATGAATCTTATTATGGTATTCTATATTGTAGCAAATCGGTTCTATATGGCTAAAAGGAAAGAGAGGCACACATGATGAGGAGATCTAGAAGAGAGAATAGAAGATTCACTAACCAAACTCAAGCTACAAATAATGAAGGAAATCTCAAGAAGGAGTTATCTTACTTGGAGAAGACTCCATACCTAAGAGGATGTATAAATACCTTATCCTGGAGATCGAATGAGGCTGCTGCGATTAATCACTTACCCTAGCAATATTCGAGCTTCAGTTGTTTTACGTTTTGTATTCTTTGTTTACAGTTCAGTCCTCTGGTTCTTACATGTTTCAGAACTGAAGTTGTTTTGTTTTTGTTCAATTTTACTCAAACACTTTCATACAGTACACTTAGGGATTAAGTGTTAGAAAAAGTCCACGGGATGTGGCCGGATAAATAGTTGATAGGATCGTGAATATTTATGGCTAGACTAAAAGGGAGTTCGAGTTTTGTAAGTTCAAACTATATCATTATACGATTTATCAATGAAAGAGCTCTGAGGGGAAGTGAGACGCTTCCCTGAAAAGTTGTTTAAATTTTCGGTCTTTTGCTTTCGCAATTTACAATTATCATTCACGTTCGTACGTTGTTTAGCGCACTCCGAATCAAATATACGTTTCACAATTTAATTTGGATAAAGGCATATTGTGTGTAATTGTGTTGATCACACGACAATAATATGTGCAATGCAGTTGTGTCTATAGTCGAAATGCAATTTAAATTAGATAAAGACACACTGAAACATTCAGTAAAATGACAAGTATGCAGTAAAAATGACAAGTGTTGATCACACGACGAAAAAATGTGCAGTGCAGTGGTCGTGTGTATAGTGAAATAACACAAAATTTAACCATTGAACCATTGAAACATAGTTTTTGATCTCACAAGATAAAATATATTTCTTACAAATATATAATCTATACTTATATAATAAGCCATCTTATTTACTATATTTAGTAGTAAGAAAAGTAAACATTGATTAATGCATCCTATTTTTAGGTTAGTATTTTATATACTTATTTTATTTATTTGTTTTTCCTCATTACATCGATTTAATAAAAAAATTCCCATAAAATCTATTTTTTCAAAAAAGTTGTACGTAAAATCCAAAAAAAACATATTCGATCGGTGATAAAAAATTTGATCGGTCAAAGTTATATCTTTATTTTACATCACCCATAAATAAAGCATATATCAAGCCTAAATTAAAGGGTTAGTTGTGTATTGATTTACATAAATACATCTAATTTTTAAAGTTTGTATATATTCAAAATTTTTTCTTATCTTTTTATCACCGATCGTATCTAATTGTATGGAAATCTGTTCAGATTTGTTTCTCTAGATGTAATCCAATTTTCGTATAATGAGAGTTTTTCATAAAAATATTAACTGCTATTGTATCTATCGATCGAATATAAATTACAAATCTCAAAACATTGAGTCATCGTCTTCGTCCCTGTCATCCTCCTGCGAACAAAAATATATCCCCAATTAGTCTTATATTCAAAACAATGAATCAAAGATTTGACTTAATCAAATAAGTTAATAGGTCTAATAGGCCTATGCTGAAGGCTCGAATTGTAAGAATGTTTTTTCAAGACCGGGGCAACACATACAAATCCTATCTCGAGTTGGTTCTTCATGATAAAACTGTAAGCCAAATTATTTTTACTTTTTTTTTTTTAATTTCGAACTAACGTATATTTTCTACTTTTTTAATTTTATTTTTTAAATTTAAAATTTAGCTTCTTTCGTTTATCGTGTATGTATTCAGATATTTAAATTATCTATATTTAAAAAAAAATAATTTTATTGATTACTCTTTTGTACATGTTTAGGGAAATCGCATTGCGGCATGGCTACGGGCAATCAACTTGACTGCGTTTAGAGAGAGGAATTTTGAGGAGGGCATGATCATTTGTATCAAGTTACCAAGTTGACAGCAATCTAGGAAAGTACCGTTCGACATCCGGTGATTTTAAGTTCATGCTACACGGGAACAATTATATGTTGTTTCGCGTGTAATTAATAGAAGGGGTTGAAGATATTAGTTTGTGAGGATGACGAGTTGCCCAATAATCAAACTCACAATGTTGTGTACAAGTAGATCTTTCATAATATATGATTGTTTCTTTTTCGAATACTATTTTTTTGTACAATTTTCCTGCGTATTATAAAACTTTTATTGAATATTGCATCTTATAATATAATATTCCACAAATAAATATATCACGTGCCTCGCACAAGTCACGTACTATATATATCCCGTATAAATTTTTTTATTCATTTATATAATTATGAGACTGTATAAATAGCCTTAAAATTGTGTACTTTGTGCATCGCTCGGGCTCTGTACTAGTTATACGTTAGACGATTATCCAAATATAGTTATAGGTCATTGAATACTCACTTGTACACAATTTTTTTTTTTTTTTGCCTAAAGGACACATGTATGTCCTTCTCAAAAACTTTTCCCACAATATGAAGCATCTAAACTAATTCCACTTAAATTTCTAAAGGCTTTTTTAATTTGAAAATTACGACCATTATCTTTTATGAATTCTTTCACATTACTTTCGGTTTACCTTAAGTTTATTTTATTATCTTTATACTTTATTAAAATTAATTTAAATTTCTGGTTAGTTTTAAGTTTATTATCTAATCCTCCTTATATATAATTTCAGAATGTGCTGAGCCTACGTAGCTGCTTCTGGTGCTTCGGAATCCTATTTGGCGAAGAATCATGCTTCGTAATTAGGTTTGGATGAATAATATTGATATATTAATAATTAATCATCTAGGTTCGGGTATTCCATAAATATTATTTAGCTAACTTAGGTATTTTAATATCACTTTTACTAATATAACCCTTTAATTTTTTGTAATTTTACATAGTGAGGCAATAAGTGACTAATATATCCTTGAATTTTGATTTGTTTCCTTCAATAAGCTATTGAATTATAAATATTTTAAAAGTTGATAACTTTTGTATTTCATATCGGTTTTACATATATAATATATCAAATTAATCATCTTTTGATGATCTTCGATTTGACATCCATATTGTATATATGAAATAAATAAATTATATTTATCTTTATAATAATAAAAATAATAATATTTATTAAAATTCATTAGGTGTAGTTATATATTGTAAGTTAAAAAAAATTAGTATAATATAACACAAGTAAGTCGCACAAATAAAAAGTGTCATAATAAATATATAATAATATATATATTCTTATAAAAGGTATTTAAATTTTAAAACTACTTTTTTCTTATTAATTTTAGATTTTAAGAAAAAAATTAGCAAATACCCGTGTAATACACGGGTGTTGTACTAGTTATTTACTAAATCAACAAAAAAAATTGCAAAAAAATAAGTTGATTATAAACCATAGATAATACAAACAAATACACTCAATAACTAAAAAATAAACTCAAGACAATTGGGCCATTAACTAAGTCCAAATTAATCCAAATATATCCCAATGGAAGCATCGAATGCAAGCCACAAAAGCCCACTGGAACCGAAGCTAAGCTATGTAGTATAAGTAGGAGTTGAACAGAATAGTAGATATAAAGCTGCGGCTGCTGGCAAACGGTGGCGGTGGATCCGCCGCCGACGAGTGCGTTGCCGGTATTTTGTTTGTTTGTTTGTTTTTTTCTTTCTTATCATGAGCTCTGTTAAGAGGCTTTTGGTTCTGTGTTTGTACGGCGCCAAACGGGCTCTTCTCGGGCCCGGTTGCATGTTTGGAAGTTTTAGATCTGTCAAATATTCACTTTTTGGTTTAACAGCTTGAAGGTTATGGATGATGGAACTTTAAAGGCATTTTTTTATTTAAAATTTGCTTGTTTATGGTCTGTAAGTTTCATTTTATTTTAATTACTTTCTCCAACGCGTAGATCTGTTTGTACCCTTAATGTTGTGCTGTTATTGTCGAAAATAGCTGTTGTTAGATTGTTTGTTTTGCCTCAATTTGCATGTTCCATTTGAAGGAAAAACTCGATCTTTTGGTGGTTAGACTGTTAGTCTGTTGATTTAGCTTTTAGTATGGAACGAGTTTCTTTCAAGCTATGGATATACATATGTTGATAACTGTGGAAAATGATTTCAGTTCTTGGAAGTTCACTTTGAATCTTGATACTGAGAATTTATTCCATTTCGTGGTATGGATTATTGGTCCGGTTGAGCAATGGAAATGTTCACTTTGCATCGAATGTAGTGGCCCCGGATGTAGGTCCCAGAATATTATTGCTCTGTGGCGTGACTTTGAGTTAGTGCACTTATTAGTTCAGCATGCCACTCTCCGGGGCAGAGGCTTGATCAATGATCTACAGTCGCATCGAAATCCTTTTGTGTTTCTTCACATTGAACATGTGTAACATTGCCACCAACAAAACCAGTGATGATGGTCTATCAGAAAAATTAAGTTCACTATCCAAATTATTCCAAGGATTTTGTGTTCCGGTTTCACTATCTAAGGGTAAGTGAGAAAATGAGCTCAGTGAGATTCTCGATACGGGTCATTAGAATTTGTCTTGACTTGACTTAAATGTTTCAAGTATGGTACTTTCTAGTTCTGGCTTTAGTTGTATGCAAAAAATGTTATTTTGACTGGTAGTTGTTTTAAGTTCAAATTGGCTGTCATCCTTTCCTCATCTATTTGTCTTTATAAAGATGCAATAGCTAGAACACCCGACATTCCTAGCTGCCAATTTACCTGCATAGCTAGATACCCAATGTGTTGTTTTGAGCTTATCCATTGATTAAGTGTACGAGTATGTAGTGAGGACATGCATAATACGTATGAAAAATAGAACACACGAGAGAATATTAACGAGGAAGGAAATTTCTTTCGCCAATGTCCAAATATATGCATGGAGAAAGTTACCATCAAATGAACATTCTAAAGTCGTGAAAACTTTAGTGCATGATGTTGTCTTGTTGATCCTCCTTGATACAGCTAGTTTCATATGTTTATTTGACTTATGAGTCCATTATCATCATGATCATTATTATTATTCTTCTTTCTTTTTTCCATGGATAACTCTCAGGAGAATTGATATTTCATAACAGATAATTGTCATCTTGTGTATGATTTATATTGAATACTTTGATATTAGTGATATTCTTTTGTTGTTGTGAGTAGTTGTTTTCTCTCTCTATTTATGTATGTATCTTTAGTTGTATACATTGTCTCGTCGAGCTTGTGTGAAGGGCCTGTAATGATGCCTTCTTTTGTTCTTTCTTTATATTTTTATGTTGCGAACCAAAATTGAAAAAGGAAAGGGATAATGAAATAATTGAGAGTTATTATTCTAAGATAAGTGAAATTTGCATTAGTTAAATATTTAAAGGGACCTGGAGAGCTGTTTTTACTGAGGATCAAAAGTGAATTTTTAGTTTTAAATTTCTTTCATTTTTTTCTCGGAGTGATTCAATGAAAGTAAAATTTATTGAAAGATTCTATTCCTCCCCCTCCCCGAAAAAATTATTAAAAGATTCTATTCCTCCCCCTCCCCGGAATGAGGTTATATTTGTCACGTGTCATTTATCCAACATAATGAAACATGAAAGTGGAATAGGAGATCCTACACCCCTCCCCAACACCCTCTCGCTTACCATTTCCACCGACTCGACTCCCTAATAAATAGAAATTTAGGGTTTTTCCTTAGGGTTTGATAAATTTATTTCTCGGCCGTCAAAAAGGAGTGAACCAAATAGTTGGTGCAGCCTGAGATTGGTTGAGCTCAAACTTCACTGACTGGATTTTGCATCGATCACAATCTTTTCAGGTTATCTATTTTTGTTAATATTCTTTTTCACTTGTGGTCACAATGTTTCCCCCTGTGTAACTCATGAATTCACGAATTCAAATTGAACGTTGAGGAAAATTTAGTATTTAAGCCGTTGTAGTTCTTAAATCACTTGGAATAATTGGAGTAGCGGATTTATTTGTGATGGATAATCTCCGACTTGGTAGATTCGCTGATGGCAGTGTTACACATGTTCAAAATGAAGACTCAGAAAACAATGCTAGTGACACAATGGCTATTAGATCCACTAACCAATCATTTTCAGCAAGCAAGGAGGGTATGTGGAACAGAAAAGCTTATTTTCATACTGAATCAAAGCCGAATAACAGGAGAAAACAATTGCAACCCGAACTGGGAAGTTTGTTAGCAAACAAAAGAGCTAGAAGCCCTCTTTTGCCAGATTTAACGGCTTCTGGTTCTATGAAGGCAACTGGGAATATGTTCTACAAAACAAAACTGTGTTGTGAATTTGAAGTTGGCAATTGTCTGTTCATGGACAACTGTATCTTTGCTCATGGTGTTAAGGAACTTAGGGAACGATCTTGGGAGGAACGATTTGTTGTTTCTAAACGAAAGGATACATTTCAAGTACATGAGGATTTGACCAAAGAAGGTAGTAGTGAATATGGCAAAAAATGCTGCTCTTTTCTCAATGAGCAGGCTGAAGAGAGAAAATCTGAGGCAATTTGTTTGCTTCCTGGCAATGGAAGTACATCTTTCCCAAAGGCTTCAAAATGGAAAACGAGGATGTGTTACAAGTGGGAGCAATCCGGGTGGTGTCCATTTGGTGAGAAATGTCATTTTGCTCATGGATATGCAGGTGTGATCTCTTTGGCATTATCAATGTTTAATGAAAGTAATTCAAATTCTAATTTGAGTTTTATTGGATTGCATTTTTTGTTTGTTACTCATTTTCCCCTCTGGGTAATGAATTTTAAACTCTGTTTTGTTCTTCTTCCTATTGCATTTATTGTGAGATTTTTTTTTTGTTCTTTTTATATTTATGCCTATGCCTATTGTAGCAGTAGTTCATTCAACTTATTGTGATTTTAAGTTCGAGTTCAGTGGCCCGAAACTTGAATATGTAGCATGAAACAAAATTATGTAATGATTTAATTTTTCCTCTTCTGCATGGACCCACATCTCCGGTTTTACTTTTCAGTCATTTGGTTTGTCATAAAAGCTGTCGTTGATGAGCTTTCTAAAAGAAGAGGCTCCTAAGACTTACTGCCCCGAACGTGACCATTTTAGAAAATTATCTAAAGTCAACAACATGAAACTCTTTTCTTTCAACCGTTCAATTATAATCCATTAATTTCTGTACTTTCACATTGATATAATATTCTTCAATAGTGTAATTACGAAAATTTCCTCTGTTGCCGACTTTTTACTTTGTAAGGCACACATCATTCAGAGTTCCTGACTGTCAAATCATATGTGAGTCCTCCTGTTGTTCTTCTACTTGCAAGGCATTATATAATTCATTCTCAAATCGCAGCTATATTTTTTAAATTCTCAATCTGTTTGACTGCCAAGAAAAATTTGTCTGAAGCAGAGCTGAGAGGTTATGATGGGGAGCTCGTGAACTCAGGAGCTGGAAAGTCTTCTGCGCATTCTGTTAGTGGGCCCGCCTCTGCCATTCCCCGCGGTTCGTATCAAGATTGGAAGTTTCTGGACCTGGTACAGAAGACTAGAGAGGTCCCTGCTCGGAGGTGGAAAGGGCCTGATAAAATTAGCAAGATATATGGGGACTGGATTGATGACCTCTGATGAGTGGGCCTTTTGCAGTCTCAAGATAAAGCCCGATGTTTTGAAAACGGTTCGGGGGAGTTTGGCTCTCGACGAACTTGCTACTTTTTTTTTTCTTTGAGATTGTTGGTAGAGTTCGAAATTGTTTTTAAATCTTGATGAATGGGAAATTGCATGTACCGTTTCTTTCTCGAGTGGCACTTGATGAACTACTGAAGTTCTACTGCAGATATATGCAAAATCATGCTTCGAGATAAAGGTTGTTAAAAGAGTAAATCACATGCTAATGACATATATTACACTTCCTACTGAGAGACCAACAAAATGAAATTATATGGGATCTCATCTAACTCTATTGCTCTACAACAAATTATTTTTTCAGTTTGTACAGATAAACGGGCATACTTTATAAATTAGATACACATATTTTTTAAAGTGAAACACCGTACTCTAAAATATAACATAAGCAAAAGTATGAAGTATTGTATCATAACAGGTAACACAAATAATAATATGACATTTCATAAGATTTTTTTCGAACAGAAACATAAATATAAAATTTGATAGCATCAATGTGCGATCTTGAACTGTAATATACAATTTAAAAGCGTAACGTCTGGGTGGTGTAGTCGGTTATCACGCTAGTCTCACACACTAGAGGTCCCCGGTTCGAACCCGGGCTCAGACAATACAATTTTAATCATTTTTTTTTTTTTATTTTTTTCTACTACAATTTTTCCATGTTCTTCTTCTACTTCACAGTTCACAGTTTGGTGGCACACTCACTCAAATTCATTTCTTCCTCGCCATTTCTATTTCAATCTGCGAAAAAATACTTTATTTTGTCAGCAGAATGTACGCTGCTCAAACGCTGCCGTTTCCGAAGCTCACTGCATACAGTCCCCAAACAAAGAACCACCCAAAAGTGACTTCTTTACAGAACCCACCTTTCGGGTTTCTCAATTCGGGCAAAAGGGTGTCCGAATCAAGAGCTGGCCCGAAAAAAGGTGGCTCTTTTGCGGCGATCATGTGTGCTGCGGCTCAGGATAAGCGAACGGTCGACGAGCAAGATAAATTTGGCGATGATGGATATTATATGAGGAGATGTGTGGAGCTCGCGAAGAAGGCAATTGGGTCGACCAGCCCCAATCCGATGGTTGGGTGTGTGATTGTGAATGGCGGCAAAATTGTTGGTCAAGGGTTTCATCCCAAAGCTGGTCAACCTCATGCCGAGGTGAAAATTATTTTGTTTTGAGTTATGTTAATCGTTGAAGAATTTAGAGATTTTCTGAGGGTTTATGTTGATGATGAGAATTTTCTGTGAGTCATCTGTTCTGATAGTTGCTGTTCAGTTTCATTTGCATCTGTCAAAAAATGTTATTGTGGTTGCAGTTATCTGTTTGAACGTAGCTTATATTCAAGTTGTTTCAGTTAAAAAGCTTGTATTTGAACTTGGGTTTTGTCGGCCTATCCGCCTTTTTGAGTGCTCCAGTGTCTCATCCCTTCTGCCCGGCTTCTGATCACCAAAGTTCGAAACTTTATCTGTTTCCAGTGGGGTGATGATTTGACAATTTTTCTCATAAATATACTGCAACCACCATTTTTCCTTTCCTAAAGTCAGTGATTCGACTATAGTTGGTAAAAATGGTTTTCTGTATTTTCAGTTTGATTTTGGTGTTTAGTAAGGCAATCAGGTTCGACAAATTTAGCAATGGTATTTGCACGGTGGAAAGTTCTTGAAATTAGCTACTTTTGCCCGTAAGACGCTTACACGAAACGCTCTCATAAGAATTTGGCCAATATAGGTTTTTGCTTTAAGAGATGCTGGAGATTTGGCCGAGAATGGGACAGCATACGTGAGCCTCGAGCCATGCAACCATTACGGAAGAACACCACCTTGCACCGAGGCATTAATCAAAGCCAAAGTGAAGAAAGTAGTGATTGGCATGGTAGACCCTAATCCCCTTGTGGCATCGGCCGGGGTTAAAAAGCTTCAAGATGCCGGCATTCAGGTGACTGTTGGGGTTGAGGAGGAAATGTGCAAAAGGCTTAATGAGGTCTTTGTCCATCACATCCTCACGGGAAAATCTTTTGTTACTCTCAGGTGGGTTTACGGCTATATATCTGTTGGTTGTGTCATTAACGAGTGATTAATTTTATTCCCCTACTATCTAGTTACGCACAAATTCTGTGTTGCATTGTCAAATGTAGTTTGGTAAAGTTCGAAGGAAATTAGCAAACAAACTTGTGGGCTGTTAGCCTAATTACGGAAAAGTTTCCATTTCACATATTGTGGGTTTGTTAGGGGTATTTCCTTAATTACCTCAAGTGGGTCTTTCTGTATATTAAAAGCTGTTTTCATAATTTAGTAGAATACCTGTTTTATGCTGAACCTGTGCGTGTAATTTAACCATAACTGAACTCCATGTGGCTAAAAAAATGGCTAATCTAACAGGTATTCCATGTCACTGGATGGTCACATACTATATCAGCTCGGTGAAGAAGCTACTGAGTGTGACGGATATTATTCTAAATTATTGCAGGAATATGACGCTGTCATACTTTCTTCAACAACACTGGCCGAGAAGTCTTCCTTTCCCTTTTCAAATGAACCGGGAGCCAATCAACCCGCGAAGATCATATTATCAACATCTCCAAATTCCCAGATTCAGATTCCCATTGTCGATGATGTGGAAGCTTCTAAACTAACGATAGTCTCTGATAAAGACAACAACTTTGAGCCACAGACCATTCAAGAAGGCATCATCAAGACACGGTCTTTCGAGAAAATAAGTTTACGTGAAATTCTTGAAGATTGCAAGAGTCGAGGGCAGTGTAGTGTGTTAATTGATTTGAGAGGTAATAATTTGGATTTTGAGGATATTCTTAAAGAGGGGTTTGAATTAAACTTGTTTCAGAAGGTGGTGGTGGAGGTTTTGCCGCTTCTGGGTGGCGATCGAGAACACGTGTTGAAGCATATGGATTTAAAATCGAATGTTCGGAATTTGACGTCGTTTGTTTCAGGCAAGAGTGTAATACTCGAGGGATATTTTTGATTCGAGTTGTGTCGGGTTTTTACTTGATGGGGGTATTTTTGGTTTCTTTCGACATTGCCAATACTAGAGAAGAAGACTGATTTGTGAGGGTGTAATTTTCTGATTCTCTTGTTTTGGTCATGGTCTAATAATGTTGAACGAGTTCGAGACGATGAATCTCATGCAATTTTACTGTAAAAGTCACACTAACAAGTAACAGCCTTTTTCAATTTCCACTCCTGTGTTCTCATTTCTAATTATGAGGATTTAATATTTTAATGTTCGATCATTTTGCATCATATCTAAGGGACTCCTTATTTGTTATGAGTAATGCTACAAGTACATAATAGTGTACATAATCATGTTCGATCATTTGTTATTTCCTTGGTCGAAGATTCAATGTAAACTCAAATTATTACGGCAAGTCTGCAAAATTTTTCTTCATGTGAAGATCCCAGCAGAGACCTTCTAATAGGCCATTAACTAGATCCGAATTCATTGTTCATTCGATTTT